TAGAATTCAGTTTTATTTATATGGATCACAACAACAGTCCCATTAGGGCTCTTTACTTTGCAATGGAAAGACCTGACAAAAATACACACTGTGCCATAAAAGGCATTTACACCTATGTATGCTAAAAGTGGCAAGTCAATTGTCCATTGTCTAATTGTCCACTGACTCATCAACCAGATACTGTCCACTCCCATAATGAAAACATGGCATATTTGATAATGTTAATAAACTTGAATTAAGTGCACAAAAATCTGGATGATTAAATGTCTAAATTAAATGTTTAAATGCTTAGGGACATTTAACCAGATATAACGAACAAATCATTAAAAGTCGAAACTTACCACAACATTACGTAATAAGTTTGTATAACATTTTGAGCAGGACCGCAGTACAAAACGCCTTATTGTTTACCTATGCTTAACAGCAACATGCACCTACAAAAATGCATATATAAAATGGCATGTAGGTAATTTTGTAGACTGGACTAATTCACATGAGATCCCTTGTGTACGTTTATACACTAAGTTATCCTATATTAAAATTTTGATATAGTCGCTAAACACAAATAATACTGACATGGGAAAAAAATCACAATTTGACATTGTTACATCAAAAACTTGTATATTCCATATTTGTTAAATGATTTTATTATTATTGTGATTGTCTTTCACAGTCACGCCCAACCCATCCTCTCTTGCAGTGGTGGGTGTGGCTTAGAAAATCCCAGACAGGCACCCCTGTGTTCCATCCATCCTGTTGGATGCTGCTGTAAGACATACCCACAGACCAGCCTGACCCACTCTTCCCCACCTGACATAACCACTTACCTGCCAGCCTGTCTGACCCACTCTCACCCCACTTGCCAAAGTCACTTACCTTCATAGAGCATTAAAGCGAAGCTCTTAGGAAAGGAGACGAGCCAATTCTGTTTTATAGAGACTTACCTCAACAGCTCTGGCCAAGGAAAAAGAGACACAACTATTTGATAAATGCTGAAGTCATTTACCAGGGCCTGTGTTTGGTTCCTGCTGAACAACTGCTAATAGATTCAAAGACTCCATGTTTTACTGAAGTACCTTGTTGTCATTTTTATTTCAGAATACTTAGCATGAATACTTAATATTTAATTACAATTAAATGATTTTATCATAAGGTGTTTAAGTGTTTTAAGTCCATAAATACTAAATCACCTGCAATTTAGTCTGTTGGCAGGTGATTGCAAGGCAACAACATAAATACAACATAATATGAGACATACATAAGAACCTTCAAGAACCTGAGCTGCATCAGGCCCAGTTTTAGCTGAGATTTTTGTGTGTTACAGTTAGATCATTTGAATCAAGATGGGAGCTAGAGTATTGTCTTATGTTTACTTCTTAAAGATGCTTCTTATTTATAGCACCTCAAACACACATGTAAAAAAAACATATCTTGGGCTTTATTTAAAAATAATACATTTAAAAAAATAAATAGATATCTTCCGCTTGCCCAGATGTTTGCTCACCTTGAATATGCCTCATCCTGTGTGGATGAGGGTTGTGCCGGGAGAAGAATGAGTGGTGACTCAAGGCACCAAAACATGGACTGCTTTTTGTAAGCGTATTGGTAAATTTAGGAGTGAATGGGAAATGGTTAATCTGAGCGAATTTCCCTTCAGCTGTCATCCCCCTCGATTCCAGGCTGTGTGCTCTCGACATGTCTGGGCTGAAAGCTTTGTCTCAGTCTGTATGAATGAAGGAAAAGTTGTTGAGTTAAGTCCTATTTTGAAATAAGGTGACAGAATGTCAAAACCCCAGCATTCAAAACTATTTTGATTGCAAAGTTATGAACATACATGCTAAACATAAATAAATAAATAAACCAAAATCAAGAACTAAGACCATTAGAACCCAAACTTTCCTTTGAAACCCACCTCCCACGCCCTTAAATGTATAACATGAAAATAATTACAACTTTAGCCAGAAAATTGCTCAGAAGAAGCACCCTACCTCTGAAAACAGGCACCAGCTTACAGCCTAAGGTCTGCAGTGCTATGTGTTGTTTTTGTTGCCAAGAAACCTAAACTAAACAAAGCTGTCTGAGCACTGCAACACTGAGCCACTTCATTCAGACACCGTTTTCATATGTAAAGCAGAATATATTCATGCTATTCTGCAGTGATTTATGAAAATCTCAAAGAAAAAAAAGAAAGCACCGCTTAGTTTTTACCACAAAATTGAATTTACTTTCCTATCTTTGACTGTTTTAATGTGGTCTTGCTGTATTGTTCTAGCAAAAAAACTATTCGCTTTAGATTCAGATTGCGACGTATACAACCTTCTCAACACTCGTAAATAAAGAACTGCAAGCCAAGGGTCATGTGACCAGATGTAGGCGCAGCAGGAAATCTGACTGCAGGACTATTACTAAAACTAAAACTCTTAGTTTTGCAAATTGAACAATAGCAACTTGTTACAAGACAGTTACATTAAAGATCCAACATGAAAGACAAACCACTTGCATTTCTTTAAGTTAAATTATCTTTCATTTCTCTAATAATATTTTATTAGCAGTTCTACTGCACAGTTCTCCCCTGCAGGCAAATCTGTTGCATCTAATAAGACGAGCATCAGATTAGTTTACAGTAGCTAGAGAGGCATCCCATGGGCACTGCTTATTGCCAATATTAGACGGATATGAGAGTTTTCAGCAATCAGTCCCTCCTAAAATCTTGCATTTTTGTTTTATTTCTTAGAAAGTAAAACTCATTCTCAGCCAGTGCGGTCTATTAGTGCTGAACATCTTGCATAGCCATAAATAATTAGCAGCCTTCTTTTAAATTCACAGTCTCTTGTATATATGACACGTCTTTTAGAGGTAGAAGTAAGGTAGCGTGAACCTCAAGGCAATACACAATGTGCACAATGCTTATTATTCCTTCCTCTTGTTGTTTGTAGGTGAGGTCATAGCTCTGTGTGCTTTGCTTTGTATTAGCTTAATTTAAACTACTTAGGTGAATATATTGTCAGGTCTTGAGAATGATCCATCAATGGAGTAGTCATTTTGCAGCCTCTCTTTTCAATAAACAGTTGAAGAAATGTGATATAACCCAATCCATATCTCAACTGTCAGTGCAAACTGTATTTGGATACGCTTCACTGAACACAGACAATGTGTAGGGGTATTCAGAAACATTAGTGATTCATACCACTGCAAGAACTTTAAGAGAAATACAGCAACCTTTTATTCTCGCCAGGCAGGGCAGCATTTCAACAAAGGCAGTTGAAAATATGTCTAAGCTTCTTCCTGGACTCAGGGTCAACCACATGATCCAGAAGCAGGGTCAAGGTGCTGTTTGATGTCCTTTTCAAGATTGAGTTAGATAAAATAGAATAGGAAGGATACAGAGAGTGTAGGACGTTTTCACAGTAAAGCAGGTGTGAACCTTGATCAAGCGATCCTCATTTATTTAGAATATAAGGCAAAAGACAAATAGTGAATGAGTATGCTTTTCATACACAATGGAAATGTTTTTATATTGACCATATTTATTTATATTACCACTTATATCCTAGCAGTATTTACCAGCAAGTATAGCGTGGGTGGTCACCAGTTGACAGCAGAAATGGCCTGCACGCGTGCATACAGACATATTGATTCTCTGGAGCGTTTAATGATATTATGTGTTGCAGATGAGAAAACCATTTGCAATTTTAGATTGACTTACTGTTAAAATGCAGAAACATTCGTCTTTCAGATGGGTGTGTTCATGTTCATGTTACAAACCTAATTCATGTTACGGCAATGTTACCGATCTATATTGTGTTGTGTTATGATAAATGATTTATTTTTGGTTCCTATTACTGTTGCTTTAGTATAAGCTGCATTTTACTGCCAGATTAAGTTAAAATGCTTTGAACTTAATCTGGCAATAAAATTTTTTAGACTACCTGTTATAAAAACAAGAAAACACCAGGTTTTTTTTAGAAAGCATTCATGAGAATTGTTTAAAACCGAAAACTATTCTTAGTTATCAGACAAATAAGAAAACAAGTTTACTTTTTTATGCACAAATTTGAGCTGGCCCACTGAATTTCTGTGAGAAGTCAGAAATTAATCGAGCATAACATTCAACCACTAAAATATTTTTTTATGTTGAGGAATGCCAGTAAAAATGCAAGTAAATAACTGTAATTTGGCACAGCTTGAACATACAATTGCAGTAACTATTATAGAAACATTAAAAATTTAATTTATTAATTAATTAAAAAATTATATGGCCAACTTATGGCTGAGTATAACAAAAATGTAGTCCCAAATAAAATGTCCACCACTGCAACAAATCACTCAGCACAATGCGACACATCACTGCTGTCTAATGTATAGGTTTTGTGTTTGCTTTCCGTCAGATAGAGATGCAGTTCTATGGGTTAATCTCCTGTCTGGTTGGTGGATGGAACTTAATAAAAACTAGATATCCCTCTCTGAAGGTAAGGGCATTCATCATCACAGGCCTCCAATACTTGCTGAGACATCTTTTTTTTATGTAAGTCTGTCCTTGAAATAGTTGAACGAGGGTGTACACCAAACTAGGACTCAAAAATCTAATCAGAAATCTCATTTCTATCGGTGGGTAAAAAGAGTTTATGGTTAACTTTGTGGCGTGAATCCCCAACTGCATGCCTGCATGCTTTGGCTGCCATAAAGAAATATTGCGTAGAGTAATTTAGATAAGAACGTAGTACAAAAATGCTAATGTTAAAGAGTTAAGCTGACATAGGGTGATATACAGCATGTCAAAGTTAATGACACTCTATTAATAACTGACAGTACATTTCACCTAAAACCATCAACCTCATTATGACATTAGATGAAATACATTGGATTGCATAAGCCATTAGGACCTATCGTCCAGGAACTATGAAAGTCTGGTGAAACTTTTAGTGTAGTCGGAAAAATGTGGCTGATATTCTAGAATTCTAGAAAAAAAAATTAACACGAGGTCTTGCAGAATAATCTAAAATAAAATTCCTGGTGACAGTGTGATTATTACGATCATTAGTTGTAAAAAGACACAGCTGGTGACACATGTCAAAGATGCAGCAGTTCCTGCCTGCAGTTTTTCCACTAACAAGACTAATGAGTAAAGTTAACAGTGACAAGGATGGAACTTAATAAGGAATGTGGAAGGAAGGAGTTGATCTTTTTCAAAGTGGAAAAGGTAAACAATTTTTCTAAAGAGACGTCTTGGGATACTGTACTTCAAATATAAAGAGTCCGAGGTATAGATTCATAGATTGAATTTTTTATTTCTTTTTTTTTCTTTTTTTTGGCTGATTTGCAAACTATGCAGTATTTTATTGCATGTACTGACTTTATGCGATACTGTGAGCAAATATTTCCCCCTTCCTGATTTGGTTTTCTTTCTGTCGGATGAAATTCCTCCAAAGCAAAATTAGACTTATTGCCAACTCTTGAGCCACGATCGGGGGCGATCGTGGCTCAAGAGTTGGGAGTTCGCCTTGTAATTGGAAGGCTGCCGGTTCGAGCCCCGGCTTGGACAGTTTCGGTCGTTGTGTCCTTGGGCAAGACACTTTACCCGTTGCCTACTGGTGGTGGTCAGAGGGCCCGGTGGCGCCAGTGTTCGGCAGCCTCGCCTCTGTCAGTGCGCCCCAGGGTGGCTGTGGCTACAATGTAGCTTGTCATCACCAGTGTTTGAATGTGTGCGTGAATGGGTGGATGACTGGATATGTAACGCGCTTTGGGGTCCTTAGGGACTAGTAAAGCGCTATATAAATACAGGCCATTTACCATTTACTTATCACACACACTTTACTCCTACCAACGGTGTCACAACCAGTTATGACATTTAGGGGGCAAATTTTTTTCCCCTTAATAAATGACTCAGGAAACTAAGGAAAGGGGGCAAATACTTTTTCACAGAACTGTAGAGAGACATCAATCATCATCTGGTTGGTAAAGTCGTCAAGAAGCTCAAAGTTATTTTTACATAAATATTCAACAAGTCAGTTAAAAATCCAGTCAGACAAGATTAGAAATGAATCATTAATCAGTATTTGTTTAATCCCTGTCTGGTTTGAATAGGACAGTTGTGTTTTTCTACTGAACCTTGAAAGATAACTGTTGTGGTTAGGCGTAGCTTGGGTCACGTGGTGTCGGTAATAGTAATAGTGGTTGCTATATCACCTGTTCACGTCCCGAGGGAATTTTTGTGAATTAGTGGGTGATGGGGGTGTTACACACTAAGATAACACAGACTTTCAAAGTAAAACAGGAAACACATAACAGTCACGCCAAAACAAAACGCCTAAAACAATACACTGCCAACGCCGAACCGTAACAGGGGGAAGTCGAGTTTTGCTGAAGCTTAGAATGTTTTTGATCACTGTTTTTCTACGGATTTTAAGGATTTGATAACAAATAAAGGAGTTTAAACCTGGAACTTTGACTTACGTTTTAAACAGCGGGCGTCAACATTATTCCCCTATTCAACTGCTCGGCGACTCAAAGGCTTGACAGTCGCCAATAATAATTTAAAAATCGGTCTGCATTTTATCATCTCCTCATAAGGGCCCAATATTGTCTAGACTAAACACGAAATACTTCTAAATATGTCTTTCTTTTAAACTGCAAAAATAAGTGAAAGGGGGAAATTATATGTTTTCTCTACTTCAGCTGATTCATTTCACCTTGGTAG